TCACTCTGTTAGCGCTTCCTCAAAGTCTCTGATTTCTTGTTCTCCTGAGAATTCTCTATCCCCTACAGCATTCTCGCCACCCACCCACCATACCCCCTTGGTCATTGTGCCCTTCCGGCAAGACGTGTGATTGTTCTGGCTTGTGCCGGAACAGTCACCATGTTACAACCCTCCACCACGTGGCCGGGTGCCACCATGTTCGTACAGGCCTCACTGTCAACGGGTGCCCCCTTGTGGCTCCTCATGTGAACTGCAACAGCCACCCTGCTCCATTGTGCTGCCAACAGCAATCCTCTCGCTGCAAGGCACACAGTGAGACGCCATCTGCCTGTGTTTCCCAGGGTGACCATCAGCAGCTCTATAGCCGCTCTACAGATGATTGCTCACACACGCCTACTGGACAGATGGCTGCCCAATGGCCCTCTGCTCCGGAATCTTCTCCTCAGGCTCTGCTACTACTTCGGGAGCAAGCTGGCCCCAAGGGACTTGTTAACATCCACGTGGCTTTTTCCCTTTCTGATCTATCTCAGATTACCCATAAATTAGGTAGCTTCTCTGTTGACCCACAGAATTATATCAGACAATTTAAATTTATTACTAATCGTTATGATTTACATTTTAAGGATGTTTATGTGGTTCTAAATACCACTCTCAGCTCACAAGAACGGAATCAGCTGTGGCAAGCAGCTCAGAAAGAAGTTAATCACAGACATAAGGTAAACACTGCTGATAATGTCCCTGGGCCTATAGCTGTGCCAGAGCAGGACAAGCATACTAACTATAACAAACTTTTAAAACAGTTCCAAGAGGCTAATAAAAACCCAGTTGTGTTCCTAAATTGGCTTTCTAATCCTCATGCACTGCGAGCAGTTCCAGCTTCACTCGCTTCGTTGGGCCGCCTCCCAGCCCCTTCCCCATGTGCCCTCCCAGCCCTCCCTCCCCCGTGCACTGTCATTGCCACCGCCTTACACGTCTCTGGGGGCAGTCCCAGCCCACCCCTGTGCGCTACGTCCTGACGCTCGCCCCACCCCCACCCTGGGCGTGCTCTGCCAGTGTGCCGCAAAGCAGCAGCTCAGCGGCTCCACTCAGGCATGCTTTTTTTTACAATTCAGCTCCATTCAAGCAATGCTATTTTTTTATTACAATTCTTAAACCATTTAATCAAGGTTATTGGCCACCTGATAATTTTACCAGCCTTGTTTATCAATCAAAGCCTTCACCAATCTCCTGTTTAACAACTAAGGTTATAAATTCCTTTTTGCTGGAAACCACTAGCTTTGTTCTAAGACAAGGGTTTTGTTAGAATTTTATTTGTCTTGGTTCATACTACTGCAAATAACAGGTTTAAAAAAAGTAAATGTGTTCAAAATTTGACAGTATTAGATCAGTTTTTATAGATTTATTCATAAGACTGGTAGACCTTTACTGCAAAATGTTTCCATTAAAGCCTTTTGGGCAGACTAAAGCCTTTTTTGTTAATTCCACGTGTCACCCTATAAAAAAGCGATATGCCATCCAGATAAAGCCTGCTCTCTGATCTGAAATGCCAATATTAAACTCGTGCATACTTACTTAATTCTACTGTAGTCCAAATCCCAAACAAAAGGCAAAACTTGACCTTCAAACCTTAGAGAGATCTTAATATGGTTTTTCATATTTTTAACACTTTTGACACTTGGAGTTCTGAGGCAGGTAAACCTATACAAGGTGGAGCTGCCTGCCCCCCACCCCCCATGGACCACGCTCAAGTGCAGCAGAAGACATTGGGCAAGAAAACGCCCCATCCTGGCATTCTTTGAGACCTTACTCCAGGGCTGCTGGACTGTTCTAGCCACCAGAGAGTGGGTAAGCCATCCTAACTCCTAGCCCTCACACGAAATGTCAACACTGTCAGATTCGTCACCAACAGAAAAGTGCTGCTGAAGATTGAGGGGGCTGAGGGCCAGCTCCCTTTGTGGGTGTCTGTCTTAAGAGTCCAAGTTCCATTAAAACTCTCAGGTAAGACATTCTCTATATTTGTGGACATAGAGGCCATATATACAGAGTTCTTCCTGAGTTTTCAGGCTGCTATATTAAGTCCTCAATCTCTATGATGGGGTATTGATGGTCAACCTATGCCATTTATAAACAGAGCCTATTTCGTGCAGGTCCCAGTCCTAAATCTTTTTTTTTGTTTGTTTGTTTTTTTAATTTTTTATTTATTTTTTTATTTTTTTTGTCTTTTTCATTTTTACCGGTACCAGGGATCGAACTCACAACCGCCTGCTTGCAAGGCAGGTGCTTATGCCGCTGAGCTAAATCCCCAGCCCCTCCAGTCCTAAATCTTAAAATGCTTTCACTCCCTTGTATTTATGCAGGCTCACTTGATACACTGAGGCCTCAACAGCTTCCACCTGTTGTCGCTGGTGGACCTCTCCTCAGTGATATAAAACCACCCCCTTCCTTTCTTATTCACCAATTTCTCAGGCAACCCTGGTCAAGACTGACAGATACATTTTGTCTTCTCACTTTGTTTACACTTTTTCAGGATACATAAAAGCCTTTCCCACAACCAGGTAAACTGCTGATACAACCAGGTTACAGTGACCCATGCCTAAATCAAAGTTGCTAGACTGCCATCCTGGTTTCACATCACTCAAGCCCTAGATCTAACCATCCTTTTCCTACTCATCTCTGCCTTACCAAGGCCTCACAGCCACAGTTAACAGGCTAAGTCATGTTTTGTTATCCACTTTGGTTCCTAATTCCTTACATTCTATTAATGATCATTTTTACAGCAGGACTCTTGACAGTCTTTCCTAAAGACTCCCACATCATGCGTAAGATAATCTTCATAATGTTCTATATGGTAACAGTCGCAGTTCTTTCTACCCTCAGCTGTCTGGTTAAACGTGACATCCCTGAAAGCCTAAGCCCTTACCTTCCCTATACTGGTACAGCCACTGCCTTCCCTCTCCCCCTATTTTTTCCAGTTCAACTCCTGTACTGGAGACAAATTTTATACATCTACCATCTTAACTTTTATGCTTTCAGGTGAGGGAGTAATCACCTTTCATAACTCCACTCCTCCTAACCCCACGTTTAATTTTCAGAATTCTGCCTTACCATGGAACATGTCTAAATCAAAGGCACCTTTCCCTCTACCTCACCTGGGTCCTTAAATATGACAGTGCCATGTCTCCTCATAACATCTTGTCTCTCTGTTTTTCCAGTCTGACATACGTGCATTCACCAGTGAAGTTGTCCTGGCAAAACACCCGGCACCAGCGTCTACCTGGGCATCAATCTTCATCCCGTCGACTCCCCTAGGCTCCAGTACAGTGCCCTCTGCCAGCAGGAAGTAATTAAAGAGAGAAATCTTTGCCCCTTTTCATAATAATAATCATAAGACGGAATATGAAAGGGTTTTGGCCCAGACAGGACACTGTAGCCAGGAAAGCCTCAACCAGAAGCAGGAATCCCCTAACTCCCCTGCCCCTAGGAATTTACCTGTGACGCATCTTCCCGCCCCTGGAAATTTACCTATGGCGTGAAACCTAGGACCAATGGGCTACCTGTGCATCCCTAATGCCCGCCTTAGGTTCCACCCCAAACCAAGGCTACTTCCAAACCCCCACACCACGTGTCCGCTGGACGCCAGCAGTGGGGGTGCCAGTCATCTCTCTCCGTGTTCTCAGAATAAAGGCCGCTTTTTGTTTTATACTTCTCATCTTTTGGAAATATTTTTCATCTTTTGGAAATAATCCTATCACCCTCAACATAGGGTCTTGACAAGTGCTAGGTTAAGATATAATTAGTTCAAAATTTCCATAGTTCTAATGGAGGACTCCTACTGAGCCATAGAACCCTTTGTTTTTCATCCTGTGTATGAGTGACGTAACTTTTACTCACATTTTAGGGAACGTTAATGTAAAAGTTGAAGAATCAAGATGGTTTATGCCATATACTCCTATCAAGGGTCTGGAAGCTCTTGACCTGTTCTCTCAGGTCTGAGTAGACCTTAGCCCCACCCCCAACCCTGGAATTCCCTCAAACTTTATAGTGAATTGAACCCGGATCTTCACACTGAGCTGCAGCCCTACCCCTTTTCATTTATGTGTATATTTGAGACACAGTTTCACTAAGTTTCCCAGGCTGGGTTTTAACTTGCAATCCTCCTCCCTCAGTTTCCCAGAGTGCTGGGATTCCTAGCATGCACCATGCCCAGCTTCAAGCTTTATAGCTTTAAAATTAGTTCTTTGAACACTTGCTTGTCTAATATGTGCAAGGCTCTGAGTTCTATCCCAGCACTGCCAAAGCGGGGGGAAAACTCCTCAGTATCTATTCATTAGAGGCACAGATATCAACTTAGTGTTTCAAGTTAGCTTTTTATTGCTGTGGGGAAAAAAAAAGTACCTGACAATAACAGCTAAAAAAAAAAAGTCTTTTTGGCTCATGGTTTCAGTGGGATCAGTTCATGGTTGGCTCCAGGTAGAAACTAGACAGCGGGAGGGCATGGCAGAGGAAAGTGTCCTCCTGCAGCCAGGAAGCAGAGGATGCACTCAGGCTTCCTCCTCCTGCTTCCAATCCCGTCAGCCCACCCCCACTGCTGGTGCTGCCCACCCAAGGCCCGTCTTCCCGTTACTTACTACCTCACGTGGGAAACACTCTCACACACACCCAGACATGTGTTTCACTCATTTCCCAGCCGCTTTCCAAGCTGATCAAGTTGACAAGACTAAACAGCACTTGGTCACAACCCGCATTTTTTTTTTTTTTTTTTGTACTGGGGATCAAATCGAGAACATTGCACTTGCCAGGCAGGAGCTTAGAACAACCCACATTTTTTTTTTTTTTTTAAGGAATGGAAATAAAACTAGACTTAGAATAAATTGTATGCTGTGAACTTTTCTTGTATGCATATATAATCACATAACAATTGTGTGTGTATGTGTACTGTACTGGTCACAATAGCAAATAAATTACCATGGGTTGCAATAAAAACACTTAAAGCCGCTAAATTAAAGAGATGAGTTTATTGGTAAATAAAGTCAACGTCTATTCCAATATACCCCAAATCCATCCTTGTATATATTAAGGAAATTAAAATTTAAAAACCAATACAATGTAACCAGCTAAAACTCCAATCTACAAGGAGCTAAGTGCCAAAAGTTTACTTGAATAGCAGGTTCTTGGAGTTTTATCTCAAAGAAACTGTGCTGAAGTTCCCAGGTAGCTCGCAGAAGCCGAGAAACTGTGGAGCAGGCCTGCAGGACCGAGACTGTCACCACCGCTGCCTTTCTGCAGTGCTTATTTGTATTGGGCCATCTCTGGGTTTCTAAGGACAACTCCGCCCAGAGCCCCACTTTGTAGGGCCCAAGGTGCTCAGGACTCTGGAGGGAAAAGCTCAGAAATCCCTACAGCGTTCAGTAACTGAGGTAGAATACGGGGCTCCCAAGAACATCTTTTAAATGCCCCAAGTTTCTCTTCCACCCCAACCCCAGCTCTGGCACAATGCAAATATTGAGAAAGAAAAAATCAGTCAAGCTTTAGTAACAGAGACAACCTATTAAAAAAAAGAGGGATGGCCTTTTTTCAGGCCCTCACACTACTGCAATTTTAAAAGAATGACTGAATTTAGGGTTGCAAATTTGGTACTGACAAAATGAATGTTTTTTTTTTAAATAACCAGACTATTTTTCTTGTAGAGTGTTAAGATATAAAAATTCTACTACCTCCAGGCATAGCGGTGCAGGCCTATAACCTCAACACTCTGAGGAGGCTGAGGCAGGATTGCTATTTGAGGCCAACCTGGGCTCCACAGTGAGTTCACCATTAGCCTGGACTGGAAGTGTGCTCCTTCTCCAAAGAAACCAAAACAAAACAAAACCCCAAGAGAACCTAACAGCAGCACGCTCCTGCGCCCCGAGGGAGGGGGCAGCGCCTGGAGGACAGTGGCGCTGCTGCCTCACCTTGCACTCCGAAGCCCCGGGTCCTGGAAGACTGAAGAGCTGGCAATGACCCCGTGAAATCCGCTCCTAAGAAGCCCTTCAGACACTGGGTCAGCCCCAGCCCCGCCCCCAGGGCACAACACAAACTGACAGGGCCACAGGACTCGCCTGGCACGGTACAAGCCTCGGCCAGGGCGGAGGCTCAGCAGAAACAGTTGCCGGAGACCCGCAAACCTCCGGGCCTTCTGCGCTGGGGCGGCTGTCTGCTTGCATTGGGCCCGGGTCTAACTGCGTCCCAGGGTCAGGGCTGTGGGCGGGACCTCTGTGCCACTCCGCTGGCCATGGAATAGGTGCACGCCCAGGTCACCTCGCCAGGCCCTTGACAAGACGCAGAGTCAGCTGGGGCCTGGCCTCGCCCCGAGAGCCCCAGCTCTCCTCGGAGGTGGAGCACAGGCGGGGTCTCACCCTGCAGGCGCTCTCCAGGCACTGCCACTCAGCTTTGTCACGCCAGAAAAGTGACAGCAGGCACTGGACCTTGCAGTCAGTCCTAACTTTGAACTTTCTGGAATTAAAAATGCGTAACCACATCTGTAAGGTTTTTAATGAACAAAAAGTTAAATACAAACTTCCATATGCAAAATAGACTATTGTGTAACCGGCGACCTCGGAACCGAGCCCTGCATTTTCTTCCAGATCTCGGTGGGGGGTGGGGGTGGGGCAGGTGTGCACATTGGTCATAATGAGTACAAAACTTAATTTAGCTTTGTATATAGAAAAAAAAAAATCTTTGAGGAAAAATAGCTTTCAGTTGAACAGTATCTTCTGAATAAACAGCTCAGGCCAGCCCTTATAATTCTGAGGTTTACACTCATCGGGACCTCGGACAGAATGAAGATTTAGGGTTTACAGTTACTTTGAATCCAGTTTCCAGAGTAAGCCGAGTCACCTCAACTCTGGGGGGAAGTGGCTTTGAGATGAGCTCGGTGTGCTTCTGGGGAGCATAGATGGCCACGGTTCCTCGGCTGGGGTCGCACGGTGCCAACGCGGTAGTGTCTGCTTGCTCTGAACCAGACCCCCAGTGGTGGCATCCTGCTTCCTCTGGAGTGTGCAAGGCTCCACCTTCTTGTGGGCAGTGACCGCTCTGTCTGCCCCTGCTGCTGTCCCCCGGTCGTCAGCAGGGGGCGGTAGCTTGGTTGACATTTCTCTCCGAAATAAATAGTTCAAGCACATCACTTAGAGTTAACTGTGGCAGGCAGTGGGAAATGGCCACCGCCCCACATTTGCAAACGAGCGAGCGAATGAATACATGTGAACAAACACACAGAAAAAAATGATTCATAGAGTAGATCCTGCATTTCCCACATTCCCAGGGAAATGACTCTTAAAACAAAACATTAATTAGCGTTTGTTCTTGTGTGGGCTGAACAGTCCAGGGCTCCAAGCAGGCACAGCCTTACAGTCAGGGTGGCAAGCAGCCCCTCCGTACCCGGAGAGGCCTCCATGCACGGTACCTGTGGGAGAACAGACACTACGCAGGGACTCGGTAACCCACGATGCATGAGGTATGTGGAGGTATATGGAGACGGCTGGGAGGGGCCCACCAGTGGCTGGCAGGAGGGGGCGGCATTCTCAAAGCAGCTGCTGATGTAGGATTTCCCACACCATCTTCTTTCGGAACAGAGGCATCTGGTGCTGCGGAGAACAACACACATGTCACCCGCTGCTGCAGCCCTGTCCCAGCTCTGCAGGTCACTGTGTAAATACAGGGCAGAGCCCAGGTCCTTTAGGTCAACCCCGACATCTCTGCTGATAGAGCCTCAGGTTTCTACCTCTGCTGTGTTAATACACTCAGTGCTGTGCGTGCTCAGGAAAACCAAAGAGGGACCAGGAACCACACACGGCGGCGTAGAATAGAAGCATTAGCAAAAATGGAAAAGTCCAAATGGTGGCACAATGGGCCGCCTTTCTGCACGTATTTTAAAAATAATCTAGAATGAGTCTAACCCACTTTCATATGGAAAAAGTGACCTTTAAGAAAAATGTCAAATTTCTTTCTGTTCTATCAAATATTGCACTTGGTCAATGCTGTTCAAGAAACAGCTTTTCTTGAAGCCTCACATTCTTAGGTTCAGAGACACCTTGCTATTTAACAACATCAAAGAATGAAATGTTTTGCTTAATGTGCTACTGCTGTAACCACTAATCATGGCATGGGGCAGTTTTCAAAGTAGCAGCCAGACACAACAGGACGCCAAGATTACCTGCAAGTCAGCTGCCCAGTCCCTGATGATAAGATGGGGGGGGGGGCTCATGCCTTTGGGCTATGCACTATCATTGTGAACACTTGGACAGCGAACGAGCTTTACTGGACACTCAGGGAGCTTGTGGTGTGTGCATGCATGTGTAAGTCTAAACACAAGTTTTATTTTATTTTATTTTTGGTTCCAGGGATCAAACTCACAACCTTGCTGTTTGCCAAGCAGGTGCTTATGCCACTGAGCTAAACCTCCAGCCCCTACAACTCTTATTTTAAATAGTTCAAAACATCTGGTAAAAATATACATTTATTCTTAGTAAGCCTGCTGAGTTGAGTCACTGATAAGCACCTTTATGTTAAACTAGAGTTGCCTGAATTCAGTGTGGGCTCCTGGTTACAGACACTGCACCAAAACTCAGAACAGGATTACCCGTCCTGACACTCTACAAAATCAATGTATTTGGAGAACAGTGGCTATGAAGCTACACCTCTATGGTGGTTGCAAAGAGGTTTCAAATGCAGTTAGAAACAGAGCTTCTCAAGTGTTCCCAACACGCCTGGGTTTCTACTCTGACACGGAACCATGGAGAACCCAAACTAAGCAACACAGAGAGCAGGTGGTATTGACAGTCCTGCTTTTCCCTTGCTTTCACACACTCACAGGGACCAAGGCATCAAGCTGTGCTGTATCCTCACGGCCACTAAGAGCAGGAGACACCTGAGGGCAGCGAGAGCAGGGCTCAGCCAGAGGCTCGAGCAGGGGTTTATGGGCGTTTCAGGGAGCAGCTGCTGCACCGAGGCCTCCTGCGTGTGGCACTGGCAGCCGGTCGTCTCGGACAGAAGCGAGTGGAGGGGAGGGCCTGCACTCACCTGTGTAAAAGTGATAGGTTTGTCCCTAGAAATATAGTCTGCGTATTTACAAGTAAACATTCCACAATCACTCCCATTCAGCTGTTGAGGAATCTCCTAAAATTACAAAAACAGAAGGGGAAAAGAGGTAAAATATCACACAACATAAATTCCTTGTGCTTTTTCTACATATAGCTGGGGAAAATGACAACCTGGTAAATGCTCAGTCTGCTATCGCACAAACTGGCACACACAGATGTAATTAGCTTTACTCCATGTGGTGTAAAACCCTACTATAACCTAGAGTGGGGGCCCCACAGGAAACGGGTCTCAGAAGAAAAGAGGAGGGGCTGGGGATTTAGCTCAGCGGCATAAGCACCTGCCTTGCAAGCAGGCGGTCGTGTGTTCGATCCCCGGTACCGATAAAAAGTTTAAAAAGTTAAAAAAAAAAACCAGAGGAAAGCGAAGTGGGGCCCTCTCTTTGCTCTCACTCAAGGAAACCAGTCGAGGGCTGGATGAGGCTCCGCCCAGCATGTGCTCCAGCTCCCTCCCCAGACTGCAGCAGCCAGGAACAAAGCAGAACTGAAGGTGCCCTAAGAGGAATGCTAGACAGAAGAACACAGCTTTTACTGTTAAGGTACAGTGAGGGCCAATCGAAAACACAATGGACCCGCTGCAACAGTGCAGAGACAGCGCCTCCTTCCGCCAAGGCTGGATGACAGGCCTTGGCCCTGGCCCCCTACGGTCTCGGGAGGCAGAGAAAGAAGCCATAGGTCAGCTCTCCTGGTGATGACTGTGCCTTGAGCAGGGCCAGTCCCGAGGCAGCACTTTGGAGCTCTCTGAGGAGAGGCTCACAGTCCCAGGCCAGGGCCCCCCGTCACACACCTGCAGCTATGTGTGAGGTGTGTAAGAGAAAATGGACGGGACAGGCCAACACTAATGACAGCAGCTGAGTGCGTACTCACGAAAGCAGCCCATCATTCAAAAAGACAGAATACGCACAACACATGCTGGGGCCTTATATTTCTGCTGAGTCTAGCGCTACACAGAGTAGGAAGAAGTACAGATCCCAATCTACAAAGAAGAGATTTTGTCACACTTCCTGTACCAGGACATGGTGGTCATTCATACAGACTTTGCAAGGCAAGTGCTTATGCCGTGAGCTAAATCCCCAGCCCCCGAATACTCTTGCTTCTGTCTTTTCCTCAGGAAATGTCAATGCTGACTTTTCAAGTGATCCAGTGTTGAACTTTGGATACTTTGGATGAAGAAGGCTGAGCACCCTACAGAGGTCAGGAATGAACTGAATTTGTGTGGCTCACTTCAAAGTGAAGCCAGCAGGAGCCAAGGCCGGGTCACCTTTCAAGTACAAACTGACACGTGGACCTGGTAAGATGCAGAGCGCATCACAGGCAGCCTGCGTGACTCCTGATGACCATGCCACGGGGCCCTGGGACCTAAATAAACAAATCCCCAGACACACTTTGGCCAAGACCTTGCAATAATCAGGAAGAGATGCTGAGCTCAATGCTCCGTTGTCCAATTCCCTATCAGACATGTTGGCACATGCATAGGGACCAAGCTAGACACCACTGTGGCTATCCTGACTCATAACGGCCACTACCTTGAGTACCCTCATCATGCCCTCTCTTCGCAGCTCACTATAAACAGACAAAACCACCCTCGTGGTCTGCAGGGGTTTGTGGCCAGATCCGGGCAGGGTGAGTGCAGAATGGGCCTGGAATCTTCACCTCTGCTATTAGCTTGAGGTGAACCAGACCCACCCTGGCCTGGAGGATAGGACTTTTTGAATAATACAACATGCAATATCTGGCAAATAAGCTCGGTCATCACTTACGTGTGGCTTCATGCTGTAGCGGGTCCACTCTAGAAGGTTCAGATCAATGTTTCTTTTGGTCTTGCTTTCGTCCTGTAAATACTGACTAAAGAAAACAACAACACAGGTTATACAGATGAGACTAAGCATTATGACTACAAAAGACTTGAGTTGTTTAATAGGATCTGCCATTCTAAAAACGACACCCACTGGGCTTTCAGAACTGTGACTGCTTTTAGGGTTTTTAATTCTGAAAGCCTTTTTCTACTAACCAAAACTGCATATGCTTGTTTTAAATAATTAAAACATATACAATGAGGTAAAAGACAAAGATCCCTCTAAGTCAGGGAGGGTGGCACCACCCTGTAATTCTAGCTACTCTGGAGGCAGAGGCAGACCTGCAAGTTGGAGGCTACCCTGGGGAACCCTGCAAAACCCTGTCTCCAAATAAAAAGGCCCAGGGATGCAGCTCTGTGGTGGTGTCCCTGGGGTCAATCCCCAAACCACACGGGAAAACAAAACAAAAAAACAAAAACTCACAAGAAAGACCCCTACAATGACTACTGTAGGAGTAATCATGACTGCCAACTTGCTGTTTTTTTCTAGCTCTCTATTACCATACACACAAATTATGAGCACATAATTTATTCAGTTCAGATGAAGTTTTTACACCTTTTCTTCTCACTTTGAAATAAATGAGAAACAAAATACATGGCCTGGAATCTAAAAAAAAAAAAAAAGTATTGCCATGAAAAAAAAAAGGTAAGAAAACTATTCTAAAATAAAGGACACTATGTAAACATTGAGTCCTTTTCCTCTCTCTTTCTTCCCCACTCAGCTATGGCCTTCTTATTTTTTATTTTGAGACAGGGTCTCCCTAATTTGCTAAATTGCCTAGGCTGGACTGAAACTTTTGCAATCCTCTTGTCTCAGCCTGAGTTCTGGATTACAGATTTGTGCCACCATTCTTGGCCAAGACATTCCTGAACACTGATTTACTCCTGAACTCGGGGGAAAAAAAGCTATAGAAGATAACACAAAACCTCAGATATGGACCATACATTACATGTTACACATTGGTAATTGTCTTAAGTATGATGATACCATTGTACTTACACAGAATTTTCTTAGTTTTAGGAGATACACTCTTAAGTACTAAGTGACTAACTTTTTTCTGTGATTAATTTTTATCTACATCTCCAGGTTATCAAATTCAATACGAAGACACCTCGGTTCTCAACCTGCATATAAGGTAAGCCTGCCTCAGGCTGTTATGGTCTGATCTAAAATGTCCCCCAAAAGCTCTTGAGTGCAGATAAGGACATTCGGAAGGCAGAGATGACGGGGGTCCTTTGATCAGCTGAATGACTGTGCAGCTAGGGGGTGGGGCTGGGCAGAGAAGGAGGTCTTTGGGGAGTGACCGGAAAGGTCTACTCGGGTTGCCAGCTCTTTCCTTCTTTTTTCCTTCCCTGTCTCTCTCTGTTTCCTGGCTACCACAAGATAAAGTGTGTAGCCTTCCTTTGGTGTGACACATGTCTCCGCCTTGGAGCCAGCCAACTGTGGACTGAGATATCTGAAACTGTGAGCTGAAATACACCTGTCCTCCTCCATGCTGTGTGTGTCAGTATTTGGCAACACTGATGAGAAGCCAACCAACACACGCCAGGATGCGCACGCTCCACGGAGCAATCACAGCACCACCCAGTGAAGACTGGTTCTCTGGAAGTAAAGATCTCAGGGATTCCAGTGGTTTGTGGTCTTCTAAAGGCTGAGCCAGCTAAGTCTTATTCCTTAATTTCTACTTGTTATGGAGAAATTAAACTAAAATTTTCTCCTAGAGGAAGGTAATAATTAAAAAAGGCTGAGAAAAACTGGACTAGGGGTATCAAGAAAAGTGGACTCAGATGCCCATAGAACTCAAGAAAGGAAAAGGTAGGAATGTAATAAAACTCTGTACTTCTTAAAAATTCTGTTAGAAGCAGTAAAACTGCTATATGATTTCAGGAAGCAGTTTCTGTGCATGTAGTATCTTACATAGGAAAGACTAGAAGGATTACAAACAATTTGGTCTATTTATTAGTTAATTTTTGTCTTTTTGAGACAGGGTCTCACTGTACAGTTCAGGCTGGCCTGGGCTTACTATGTAGCCCAGCCTGGCCTCAAACTCAAGGTAATCCTCCTGCCTCAGCCTCTGGAGTGCTGGGATTACAGGTGTGTGCCACCATACCTGGCAGAAGTTCCCTCTTATCTGAGGCTTTGCTTTCTGTAGTTTCAGTTTACCCACAGTCTAAAAATATTAAATGAAAAATTACAGAAGTAATTCACAAGTTTTCAATTGCACACTGTTTCTAAGAGACATGAAGAAAGCTCACGCTGTACAGGATGTGGCTCATCTCCTCACCTGCACCTGCATGCTTCCCACTTGCGGGTCACAGACATCACGGTTATCAGATCGGCTGTCTGGTGTCACAGTGCTGTACTCAACTAAGTCTTATTTTACCTCGTGGGCCCAGAGAGCAAAAATAATGATGCGAAGTCAGCCCCAGGCATAAAACACAGAAAAAGAGAGTGACTCTGGTCCTAAGAGGCAGCAGTGCAGGGCAAGGGGAACGAACAGCACACAGAGGACTTGGTACAATCTGAGGGTTCAGCATCCACCTGTAACACATGCCTGGTGGATCTGTTAAGAGCTGCCTACAAATCAAACACCTTAATGGAAAAATGCCCTTGGGAGCCAGCCGCATTGGTACAGAGCTGCAATCCCAATACTTGGGAGGCTGAGATGGAGAGATCACCAGACGCCAGCCTGCGCAATTTGGCAAACCCCTAACTCAAAATTAAAGAGAAAAGGGCTGGGTGTGGTGGCACACACCTGTGCTCCCCACACTCAGGAGGCTGAGGAAGCAGGATCACCTCAAGTTTGAGGCTACCCTGGGCTAGACAGTTCAAAGCCAACTTGAACTACATAATGAGACCCTGTCTCAACAAGATAAAAAAAGAAGTCCTGAGAAGGCTTAAGATGTAGCTCAAGGCTACTTGGGTTCAATCTCTAGTATTACAAACATAAAAAACAAATTCTATGAGATAAACCCAACTATCAATAGAAAGCACAAACATGAGTCGGCTTCTGAATTTAAATGATGGATACTCCCCAGCGAACAGTTCTTTAGAAATCTGGAATACAGTGGTGCCTCGGCTCCTGAACTTAACCTGTTCCACGATTTTGGGGAAGATGGCCATGGTAGTGTTCATCACTCAGTGCAGAGTTTATAAATGGGAACAAAATTTCATGAATGCTTCTGTTTGCAAACAGAAGCGTTCGTGAACCAAGGTATTACTGTAATGTATCAATCCCACAGAAATCTACCTCAAGTCATAGGGTTCTTATAAGATATATTTAGCTGGGCACACTGGTGCATACCTGTAATCCCAGTACTCTGGGAGGCCAATGCAGGAGGATCAAAAGTTCAGGCCCAGCCTGGGCAACTCATGACTTAGTAAGACTGTAAAAACTGAGAAAGGACTAGGATGTAGATCAGTGAAAAGGCCCTGAGTTCAATTTCGTGTCTCTCTCTCTCTCTCTCTCTCTCACACACACACACACACACACACACACACACACACACTTGCATACACACACGCAAAGAACTTGCTTTCAATGATAATCCTGAGTAGGAGTTCTCAGGTGAGATCATGTATTAAGTTATTTTTAGATAAAAAGATGGATTCAGAAGTCCTAAACCAGGGCTGGGGATTTAGCTCAGTGGCATAAGCACTTGCTTAGCAAACATGAAATCGTGAGTTCGATCCCCAGAACCAAAAAACAAAACAAAATGAAACAAAAGTCCTAAATCCCTGAGAAAACAGCCTTAACTGTATAGTAAGGACTTTCAGCTAGAGCCTCCCAGGGCTACATAAAAAGATCGCCTCCCACACGTATATCGAGCCAACAGTGACAGTTTCAGCCGTACTTACAGGAGAATCTCACAGATCCTGTGGCCTTTCTGTCCCATAGAATCCAGATACTTAAGACACTTTTTTCTTAGGTCCATCACCTGTGATAGGAAAATACAGCATCCAGAAAGAGAAAGACCTTAAGCATTAATAGAAGTAACAATTTCACTTTTGAAAAGAAAAGCATGATTTGAACAACCCAACGTGAATGAATTTCACACCCTCCCCACTTTTTTTGGTACTGGGGATCAAACTCGTGACCATGTGCTTGCTAGGTAGGCACCACTTGTGCCACTGAGCTCCTGACACATTCTTTAGTTTTAAGAAAAGTTACAGAAAGTCACAGATGATGAGCATAATAATTTCCACTCCTAGATGAAATCTAGAAAATTTTTCATCAAAACATCAGTAGTCCTCCCACTGTGGTGAGAGATTTTAGTTTTCTGTTTTACCTTCATTTTTCTGTAACAGGCCTGTACCATCTTATAAACAAACTAAATAAAGCAAAAACAAAAATGAAAACAAAAACCCTTTGGCTCTAAACAAAAGCCCCTTGAGCACGCGGCTACTTTCCCGAGGCCTGAGCGACCCCGCCAGGCCCCACGCGCCTCAGGCCTTCCACTCACCACAAGGCTCCAGTGCACCTTCCGATGAATCGGCACCAGGATCAGCTCTTGCTCAAAGAGATTTACCCCTTTGGTCCATCGTTTCACGGCTTGGTAACCCCCAGACTTTAATTTAGGGTAGAAGAAAGTACTGAATGCGTGAAGTGCTGGGTAGCCTTGCTTTTTATTTCTTTCCACTAGAAGATTCATGTAAAAATTAATAACCTGTAAAATACCAAGCAAGTACACAGGCTGGAATGTGGCAAATACATCACCAAAACTAAACTTCTGTCTGAGTCAGTAGGAATGAGACACGCAGGGATGAGTGGACTAAAAATGGGAATAAAAGGACCAGAACGTGGAAGTGCACAGAAACACTGAGGAGTGCACTCCTGAGTTAGGCAACCTGGGGAGGACTATGTGGCCTGGGGAGGACTAGGCGGACTGGGGAGGACTAAGTGGGCTGGGGAGGGCTAAGTGGCCTGGGGAGGACTTTGCAGGCCGGGAAAGACTAGGTGGACTGGGGAGGACTAAGTGGGCTGGGGAGGGCTAAGTGGGCCAGGCAGAACTAGGTGGGCTGGGGAGGACTAGGTGGCCTGGGGAGGACTAGGCAGCATGACGAGGACTAGGCGGGCTAGGCAGGACTAAGTGGGCTTGGGAGGACGAGGTGGCCTGGGGAGGACTTCGAGTGGCACCTCTGGAAATCCATTCAGCTTCAAGGGCGCCACCATCGGGGTGACGCTGGAGTCCTCAGAAAAGAGGCTGAAGGGAGACTACGAGGGTCCTAGGTGCCCTTGTACCACGCGTGAGGTCCCTGCACCCACTTTCATCACCACAGGCTCCCAGTGCAGTAAGCAATGAATTTCTGTTGTCCAGAAATCATGCATCTGTCTGTGGTGCTTTGTCATAGCAGCAGGGATGTACTAAGAGCTCGCGGCTCCCAGAGAGTGAATGTGATAGGTGGCTTTGGTTGCGGTGGGGGAGGAAGACAGCTTACTTCATCATTAAGCCAGTGATAATTCTTTAAGGTCTGGATGTCTCCTCTAGTGATTCGCAACTTGAAGGCGCTGCTCAGGATCTCATCCTGCGGGCCGTGGCCAAGAGCGTTACTGACCTCCTTCTCCATGTCCTGCGAGAGAAAGGTAGGAGGGTCGGAGACGGAAGAAAGCTTTTCAGGTCAACAAGTTGCAACCTTGAGAAAAACATACTTTCCGAGACCTACCAAGTGGCATAAAAATGTCCAAACTTAGCAAAGCAAAGCACTCCTGCCAATGGCTCTCTCTCTACTGAATAGTGGGCTTCCTCATTCCAGAGTGTGCAGATAAATGCGTAGCTAAGCTATGAAACTGATTCTGTAGACCCGATCAAGATTATTCTCATCCAAATAGTTTTACAAGTGCTTCTCTCCATGGCGCACAACTGCTACTGATGGTGTTCTCTCCACCTCTGGGCCCAACATGCAGGAATGCTCAAGAGATGCACACTACTGGGACTTGCACCTACCAAGCCAGCCACAGAGGAAGAACCCGGGTGCAGGGTCACCCTTAAAATGAGAATCTTAACTATTCTCATTCTCTTGTCTTCTATAAGCCTTATTACTTTCAACTACAATAATCAATGAAAGCAATGTTTTGGGTGCTATTTATTCATTTAAAAATATCTGCAATGCACTCATTCTCAATACCATACTCTATCCTATATGTGTTTATATAGAAAAAGAATCTACACAGAATCCATTCTGTTTCTTCTGTGAGACACCTTTGCAGATCACCAAGCTCACCAAAGTGAGCAGACCTGGAGTCTGATCTTTATTTTCATAGACTTATGCTCCACCTGGAGAAACTCCTCAAAACAAAACATTCAAGTCTAGATAGAGGATAGAGTAAGTAAAGGTATTTAAAACATGCCTCCTGCTCTGACCAGCACGAGGGACAGTACCTCTGTAAGTTCAAGGAGATCGTCTGTTCTTCTGTCTCTCTCTTTGCCTGTGAAATTCTTTTCCTTGGCCTCCAGTATGGACATTTTCCTCCTGAGGAAGCCATTGCTGCCGCTGCCCAGGCGGAGTCGGGCCGACACCTCTTCCGATAGGTCAGGCTCCAGCTGGTGTCCTCTCCTCTGAGCAAAAGGTTTCCATATTCTATTGCCACATCTGATACTTGCATATTGTAATCCCAAATACTGAGTACAGTTATCCAACTATCACAATCCCTTTTCCAGTTTTCCTCACAATCCAAAAAGCTATATTTGTAATTCCATTGACACATTTTTGGAATTCCAGCAAGACAATTCCAATCTACCACAACCAATGCAACCCATGGCGAGAGTAAAGACACCAAGACAACAGATTCCAAGTCGAGGGCAGCCAAGGGGCCCTAAGTCCAATCCCCATGAGGATGTGTGGACAAAGACCCTGATCCTAGGCCTCTCCCACAATTTATTATCTTGTGAAGAAGGGGGGCGGCTCAAGGATGAGTGCGTCAGGATGGCAGGAATTATGTGAGTAACTTGAGCTGGCCAGGTAGGGAGAAAAGCATCTGGGCAAAATGCAGAGATAAAGATATGTAGAAAGATCAATTCACATAATCTAATTAAGGTAGCAACTAAATTGTTGTGGGAGGCTGTCCCTTTAGTTTTTGTTATGTAAACTCTTGTGCCCTGGGGCATCACAGCCTCTTTACCTTGAGGCTCATACCCAGTTGACATTCTGGGATCTGAGGGCTCTAACATCTGACTGTGCTTATATATTTTACAGAGAGCACGAGGCAAGGAAACAGGAGACTGTCTGGTAGCTTTAGAGATTACGTATCAGTACCTCACTGGCCTTATCTGCAATACTTAAAGCCAACTGAAGAGAGAAGGAAATACCACAGCCAGCTCTGAACACATCAGTGTAAGGAAGTAAGTCTCCATATAACCAAAGTCGCAGCAAATGTTCTGCATTCAAGAGGGGTCACTCCAGTTGTCTCCCACACTTGCACATGTTACATACATCACACATGAACCATAAGATAGTGTCATAATCTTGAGAGAAACAACAATTAGCCAGTCTCTAAATAAGCAGACTTATCATACCTGACTGTTTTAGTAAGGAAGAACAAAAAGTCTGAGTTAGGGTGCATAGGGTACCTCAATTACAAAGCAGCCAGCTGTGAGGGACACATCTGTAACCCCAGCACTCAGAAGACCAAGGCAGATTCACAGTAAATTTGAGGCCAGTTTGAGCTATCCAGTGAACTACACAGTGAGACCCTGTCTCAAAAAACAAACCATGAAATGGAACATACCACTGTCTTTGGAAGTGCCTAAAAAAGTATTTTCAATTCTTCTATCCCATTTAAAATTAATGGGGGTAGAACACATTTTGAAAAGTTTAAAACAGCAAAAAACTATGACCTATATAACCCATCGCTGAGAAGTTTTGGTTATCCTTGCACTAAGTAAACACATTCTATCTCATCTTTTTAATTGAATCATACCTATGTAACGAAACCCCCACAAAAGCTCATTGGGTCTGGGGTGCTTGCAGATTGCTGCAGAGCACAACTGCCCAGGGGAGGCCACGCTTAGAGGACACGGATGCCCTAGGCCACCTCTCCCATCCCTGGCCTCTCTATCTGGCTGGTCATTCTTCTTCTTTACAATATCCTTTATAACAAATAGGTAGATAGGGGGAAAAAAAAACACATGATGAAAACACACTTTTCGGAAATTGAACACCTATGTGGCTGCTATTTGTTATATACTAACAAAAAGAACTTCGTTATGTTTGTGTTATATTTGCCAATGCCCAAGTTATATGACCAAATTACCTGTTAATTCCCTTTGCAAACGCTCCCTCATACTGTTCTGTATGTGCCATCTTCCTGGGTGACCTGATTGATATGTTAACCATTGCTACCCTCTGCAAAGGACCCTCTGCAAAGGACCCTCTGCAAAGGACAGATGTTATCTAAAATTAAGTGCTAAAATTAGTTGACAAAGGATTGTAAATTCCTGTGAGACCTCTCTGTCCTCTGCAAAGGGAAACAAAGGTCTTCCTCATTCCTTTGTGGATCAAGGATTTTCTGATTTCCTGATCCACGCCCATAAGCCATTCACTTTGTAATTGCTCTTTCTAAGGAAGTCTGTGAAAGTTTTAAGCGAGTTACATAGCTTTGCGAACTCCAACTGCACTGTGTCCCTGGTACCAGGTAAAATAAATCAGCACTGCTTTTTCTTCAAAAACATGTCTTGCCCCATTTTGGACACCAAGTTGGGGGGCTCGTTTTTGGGCTACAAGACTATTACAGTCAAAGGAAGGAATTCCACACATCCCAGAACTTGGCTAAGTCCCTTCCCTACCAGCACCTACGGAACTGTTCATACTGGATTTAAGTCACCTACAGTTAAGCTGTTTGGAAATTAGGAAATTCAGGGCTGGGCTGTAGCCCTGGTGGAGGGCTTGCCTAGCATGTGTGACACCTTAGTGCTGACAAATAAAGATGGAAAAAATAAAATGGAGACATATTTAGAAATAAGAGTCGAGGACTGAATCCCATAGCTCAAAGATAGCGCACAGGCAGCTTCATTCTAGCCAGCTGCCAGGTGTCTCTCCTGAGCTTTGGTACGGGCTGAGCAGGATGGGTCCTGAGTCGGACTCTGTCAGCTCAGATGTAGTTCCCTTCTCTTAATTTCCTTTTTTGTTTTTTGAAGAGATTTCAGGCTGGTCTCCAATTCCTGGACTCAAGTGATTCCCGCCTCAGCTCCCTATGTTGCTGTGAACACAGGTGTATTTTAGTTTGTGCTCTCCAGGTGATAGATAATAATAATAATTAACTCCACTCCCAATTAATGGAAATGGGAACTTTAAAGAAAGAGAAGCTCTAAAGCTCACAACGAGACTCGACTCAGCCTTTTGATGGTTTTTTATTTTTTTTTTTTTTTGCTCATTCAGTACTGGGGGTTGAGCCGAGCACTAGGCAAGCACTCTTAACACTGCACTACATCTCCAGCCCCTTTTTATTTATTTATTGTTTTGGGTTTTTTTTTTTTTTTGTTTTTTTTTTTGTACTGAGGATGGAACTTACAACCTTGTGCTCTCCAGGCAGATGCTTATGCTGCTGAGCTAAATCCCCAGTTTTTTCCTTTTTGGTGGTGTGGACTGAACTCATGACCATGCGCTTGTAAGGCAGGTAGGTGCTCATGCCACTGAACTAAATCCCTGGTCCTCCAGTCCCTTTTTAGGACAGGGTCTTGCTAAGTGCCCAGGCTGGCCTTGAACTCTCAATCCTCCTGCCTCAGCCTTCCAAATATCTGGGAAGACAAGTGTACACCAACAAACCTGGCTTAAAAACTTTGTTTTTGGTACCAGGGTTCGAACTCAGGACCTTGCACTTGCGAGGCAGATGTTATGTCACTGAGCCTATATCCCCAGCCCTGAAGACTCTTTTTTTTTTCCCCAAAGACTAACTCTTAAGAAGTACAATCAGAGAATACAAACTTAATCAGGCTTAAAGCAGACCCTGTACTCCTGCAGCTCTACCTACCTAAATCATCAATACCTAGGACTTTATGTTACATTTAAGATCAGAATACACTTCTGCTAGGTAGCAAATGTTTAACAAAACAGTTTGCCACTGTTAAAACTGTCAGTGCTGACAAGGAGATCACTGGAACACTTATTTTATTACTTCATGTAAAAGCCAGTAAAGCATTGGATTGCTAGTGTTTTCAAATAAATATAAAACTTAAAATAGGAGGGGCTGGGGATTTAGCTCAGCGGCATAAGCGCCTGCCTTAAAAGCAGGCAGTCGTGAGTTCGATCCCCGGTACTGATAAAAAGGAAAAAGATTAAAAAAAAAAAAAAAAAACCAAATTAAAATAGGAAACTGAAAACAGCCCTGAACATGTATCTTTCCTAGAGATGATTTTTAAACAATTTTCCAAAAGTAATACAATACATATGCATGCTGTCAGACTCATCTCTCATAAATAGGGCGACTACCAGAGATGGAAAAATTCAGCAATGTGGAAAGAAAACAAAGTGTACATCTTTGAAACTTGCTGTTTTTGCAAAGAAAACAATACAATTAGAAATCAAAGTAACATCATGTTTTCTTAGCTTTCATGCAAACCAGAATACAAGTCTGGTGAGACAGTAGGGGTAGAATTTAACTAGCTTGTACTTACACCTTCATTTTCAAGCCTGATTCCAATCATCTTCTCTGTATCAGTAATTTTCCCCTTTGAACACCTGAGGGAAAATATTAAGAGAGTATAGATTTCTGCTGGGTGACTGGATTTTATTTATTTTAGGAAACTTACTTATAGGGATAACATCATTAATGCTTTTTTAAGGGGCTATACCATATAGATGATTTTGATATATATTTGACTAGTTTTAGAATCAAGATTAATTCATACACACAAAAGCCTTGAGTTTGTACAGTCCCTGAATCAGTGGGGACACACCTTTCTGAAGAAACAAGACCCTACATACTGCTGCCTCAGTCACGACTTTTCTTCTTCCCTGCCGCAGTTTTACGTGTTCCAGCCGGTGTGAACCACCGGTGGTTCAAATGGATCCAATCACGTTTAGCAGCATTTTTATTAATAAAATTAAATCAGAGCCGCCTGGCAGGGAGACATGAATTTTGGCCTGTCACGGACACATTAAAGGCAGTCACAGTATGTAAATGAATGAGCACAACTGTACCAATAGAGGCGGACCAGATTGGCCTCTGGCCACAGCTGACAAACTGTTATTCAGCACAGTGCAAGGCCCTAGGCCCACAGAGACTATATTAGAAACAGTGATCACAGGAGCTGCTCCACCACCCTGCAAGAAACATCCCCGCAGGTCTCCAAACCCTGCCCTTAGGAGACCAGGGCTACCTACCCGAGCGAGGGCTGGCACCCACATCAACAGCTACCACGCACTCACACTTGGCAACAGCCCCAGGGCTGGAGAGAGTGCCCAAGTCCTCAGGCCTCGTTAGTATAGATGGAACTTGAAATGTGAGCGAACAGATGCATACTGAAGGAGAACTTAGGGTGACCTGAACCATGTACCTTTTTTCACTTCTCACTGGACAGAAGGGTCCCCTTGTTTCGAAAGCTCTATCTGTGAGAATGGAAAAGAAAAAACTGCTTACCAATCAATTATGGGCTATAATCTGAACTGACAGTCTTCAAAGTATGACATTTATTTACAACAAAATGCTGACACGAATTCCAAAAATACTGACCTTCTTAAGAACTTTAAAATGGATAAATCTCTGTCCGTTAAACAGAATCTTTGGCACCAACTAGCATTGCCTCATGCAGACTTAGTCAGTGGGCAGTTAGTGCACAGACACAAGGAAGACGATGTGAGGAACACACATGAACTGCAGGCTCACAAAACACACCAGTGCACACGGCGGGAGCGAGGATAAATACCAAGAGCACTCACTTGGTATTATTTTTAAACAGTTTTTAAAGTGAAACTCTTGAGTACTGGAGTGGTACAGTCAATGTGTTGAGATCTGACGGTCTTTTAAAGCTTGAAACACCATCTCACTTGTGAATATGATCAAAACATACAGTGAATATCTACAAAAATTTTTAAACAATGACAGTGAGTTACACTGCGATTCGCCTCCCTTAGAATACCTCCCCTGGCTTGGAATGTGTTTGTCACTCTTGCCTCTTTCTGAAGCAGCTCTGGAAGTCCTTTTCGTGTAGTTAGTTGTGGCTGCCTCGGAGTCCTGTACTGGTTCAAAACATTCACCATGCATGGTCATTCCGACTTTGGAGATGGCCCAGAGGTCGCACGGTGCACAGCCAGTAAACAAGATAGCAGAGGACACAGTGTCATGTTTTTGACAGAAACTGCTGACCAGAAGTGACGTGGACATGGAGCACTGTCACAGTAGAGGAAGAAACTGTCTGGCCATTTTGCTACGCACATCACTTCCTTTCTTTTTCTCTCGGCTTTTCTTCTTTTTATGTTTTGAGATAGGGTCTCTCTACATATTCGAAGTAGCCCTGAATTCACTACGCAGTCCATGCTGGCCTAGAACTCATGGTCCTCCTGAGTGATCCCATTTCTTATATAAACAGTCATTACAGTATTTGGAGTTCAATGCTGCACTCCTGGATCCAGACTTAGCTCACACCACTCTATCAAGGTCAAAAACCACAACCAACATCGCCTTGGTGCTGGAACTCCACGGATGCACTTTTTCGCATTTGGAAACTGGGTGACTTCCATTGAGAATCTGAACCTCCGTCTTAGGATCACAATCATAGACCTAAGTTTCATCTCCCGTGATGACATCTCTTACAAAGCTAGGATCTGACACGGCAGGAGTGACACCAGTGAAATGCGTTGCCTGGGATCCACGACCTATGGCATAGTTTAAAACACACCTTTTTCCAACTGTAGCTCACAGCTACTGACTGCACCGAACTGAGCCCGCTGTTCTCAAGGTTTGAGGTGCCACTTCTCAATCTCCAGATCCCTGCTTTTAGGGGATGGGCATTTAGCTCTGTGGCACAGTGCCTGCCTGGCAAGCGCAAAGTCCTGAGTTTGATTCTCCATTCCCAAAAGAAAAAGATCCCTGCTTTTCCACTGGAAGGTGCTTATGGCAGCATTCACTGTATTTTTTGATCACACTGCGAGCGTCAATTTCAGCCCACCATCGGCACATGCTACCACGGACTAAGGCCAGGAGATAAAACAGGGCGAAGGCTGGGAACTCACACTGTTTTGGAACAAACTGAGTTGCTCTGACTCCGTGGTTCTGCTCTTCCACCCGGCCTTTGGTCTTTAACGTGTCCATGTGAATTCTTTGAGAACTTAGAAACACAAAAAATGAGAAAGATCAAACACAAAAGGAAAGTCTACCATGAATATTCATCATCTGTGTCTGCTGAGCTCCTCCATAGAGGGGTCACTGTGTGCTCTGTAACATCAAACCACAACAAAGAGGAAGGGACACGGTACAGTCTAACTCAGATTCTACTATTTGGTCAAGTCACCACCTAACCTCCAACGGATTTTTTTCTTTCTTTTCCTGGGACAGGGTCTTGCTATGTAGTTCAGGCTGGCCTTGAACTCACTACATAGCCCAGGCTGGTCTTGAACTTGCAACCAACCTCCTGCCTCAGCCTCCCGGGTGCTGGGATTTCAGGTGTGCACCACCATGTTCACTTTCTCCAGTGTATCTCTAAAACTGGATGTTCTCTATCACAGTGCCCTCCTGATTAAAAAATTTGAGTGTGATGAAACTCAAATTCAAAGATGAAAAAGATTGGGGGCGTAGAGTACAGCATGTGCAAGGCCTAGGTTTCATCTCTAGCACTAGAAAAATAAAAATAAAATAAAGAAAGATGTAAAGCTGTTGTATCTAAATAAATTCTATAACAATGCATTAAAAGAAAGAATATAAAGAAGCAAAACCATTTGAAGATTTTTGTCAAAGTGACAAACTAATTCATTAAGCATACTGCTCATCAAAATGGAAAGTTTTAGGGGCTGGGGATTTAGCTCAGCGGTATAAGCGCCTGCCTTGCAAGCAGGCAGTCGTGAGTTCAATTCCCGGTACCGATAAAAAAGAAAAAAACAAAAAAAACAAAAAAAAAAGGAAAGTTTTAACATTCTGACTCAGTATTCTAAGACTGAAACAAATAAAAGTATAAAACAGTTTACAACCAAAATTAAAATTCCAAAGTAACAGTTTCCTGTATTCAGCAGGAGAAGGGGAGAACGAGAGAGACAGGGACTATGGGGGACACGTGTCAAGGAGGCTGCGAAAGCTCCACATCTGGAAGCTGCTTCCCCCTGCGACCGGCTTTCCCAGAGCAGAATTTCACTAAGCCTCCTCTTGGACAAAGTGGTTGAAAGCTAACAAGCTGTTCTGGAGCCAGGCCTGGTGGCGCTCGCCAGCAGTCCCATCTACTCAGGAGGCTGAGGTGGGGGTCATGAGTTCGAGGCTTAATGACACCACTGCAAAAAGAACACCAGTGGTCTGCGGGGTAAAACCCCTGGGTCGGCACAGTGTGTTGCTGACACTGGCTCCAGGCAAACTCCAGGGCGGCATCTCTCAGTCAGCTGTCTTTTCTTTTCTTGCTTGCCGTGCTGCAGCTTGAACCCAAGGTGTCGCGCTGCATTACAATCTCAGCCCACTTCGGGCTTCTGACTTAGAGAACAGGTCTCTGGACCACTAAGATGCGCAGGCTGGGCTCATACTTGCCACGTTCCTGCCCCAGTCTCTGAGGGTGCTGAGATTATGGGTGTGCAGCGCTGCTGTCTGCTCAGTAATAGCCTTTTTATACAGGTCCTTCTTATCAAGCCCTCTCCAAAAACAAAGCAAACAACACCTAACAAAGCATTTACCTTATTAGCTCATTTTACCTGTGATGATGTGAAGTTACAGGAGGCACAGAGCTTCCGTGACTACCTTCTTTAAGTCGCTCTAATAACCTCTGATATTTCTCTCTTTCTTCTTTTTGAACACCCTGAATAAAAGAAAGCATGTTAGATAAACACTAGTGCACGAAACTTAAAATTAAATCAAGATTGGAGATGAACAAGTCAAATGCTATTTACAGATGTGTTTCACATGCCAGGATAGTGTTTTTAAGTTTTCTTTGAATTAACTTCCAACTTTATAAATTAAAAACCGAAAACCAGCTTGGCATAGTGATGCACACCTATAATCCTAGCACTCGAGGCTGAGGCAGGAGAGTAGTCCTTAGTTCAAGGCCAGAATGAACTACACAGAGACCCTGTCTCAAACAAAAAAAAAAAAACAAAGACAAAAAACCACACCACAACCCCAAATTCTGGCCTCTACTGAAAAGCATACCCACAATCTGCGACTCCCTTCAGATGGGCCATGTATGCGCCACCCCAGGCACTGACTGACAGGGCTTACGTAGTCTGCTAGATTTTGATGGCATCTGGGTTTCTGACAGGATTGGGCTGAATGAAAAGATACACCACACAGAAACAGAGCAGAAATACTCTACTTATAAGCAGAATTGTCAGCTTCTGAAGTCAGCAGTGACCTTCCATGGCCATGTCCGAGAGGCCCTTCTCAGCAGTGAGACTGTGAGGCCATCTGCACCTCTGCTAGCTGACCTTGCCTTCCCGCCTGGAAAGTGGATGCACTTTCTTCTCAGTCTCCACTGCAGGGTATTCCCTCTTCACCTACCATAAACTCTGATGGTTTTGCCCAAATCTCTTTCCTGCTACCTTCTTTCCCTGAAGAATATCATAGCTCCCTTGATTTAAATATCAGTACACAACTACCTCAGGAATGTGCCTCCAACCCTGCCTTGTTCTCAGATCTGCCACCACCTATACCCAAGAGTCTACGGGAGAAGGCTTCTGGCGAGTTTCATGGGTACTTTAAACAATGTCCACAACAACTAAGGTCACATCTTCTGCCTAAACACACAGGGCAGGGCATCTTGGTCAGTGACACGCGTTTATCCAAGACTGCGATCTGGGGCTCGGGCTCTTCTCCCTGTGCCACACCACACTTTATCTAAGCATCTCCAGAATTTGTCCTCTGCGTATCCATTCGCTCAGCCCATCCTCCAGCTCCTCACCATCACCCGGACATCTCTAACTCCTCTCTTACAAATCTGTTCCACATTGTGGTCCTTTCCTCTCTCTACCTTCCTGTTTATTGAATTATAATTATTTATATCAAAACACCTATAGGGCAAGCAACAGATAAAAGTTTGAACTGCAGGCAACTAGCTCAGAACCTGGAACTCAAATACATAGCTCTGTGACAGTGTTTGAGGCCAGGCATGATGGTGCATACCTATAAGCCCAGCACCTGGGAGGCCGAGGCAGGCTCACTGCCTTGGCTAAAAAGTGAGTTCAAGGTCAGCCTGAACTGCACAGTGAACCCTGTTCTCAAAAAGACAAAAGAAAGAAAAGGAAACAAGTATCTCTGAAAATCACCTAGCAAATTAAAACAGTTGATGGCCCTGTAGAATAATTCTCAATTCTCCTGGAATAAACGAAGACTTTGAGAGACAAGCGAGGAGTGTCTTTCCACCACAGTAAGTGCTCTGAAAGGGGAAGGAAAAAGCAGAGACACGTGCCGTTTACTGAGTCACCGTTATGAACGCTTAGAAAAGAGACAAGTTAGAGTAATTCGGGAACCAAAAACATCTCCACCTCGTCTCCTTCCCTAGGATTCCTTGTATTCCCCGTTCCAGGAACTGATTGGCACGGGTCTGCAGCTGCCCCAGGAGGTCACGCGTGCTCAATCATGCATAAAAAAGCGTTAGAAATCAACCCGAGAAGACTCACTTCCTCCACAGTGCAGTGGGGACGCCGCAGCCCCTTGCCACCCTCTTCAGGTGCCATCTCGGTGACAGCCTGCTCCTGCGGTCTCCACAGCAGGAAACTCTCGGTGTTGCCTTTGCTATGGCGACGGCCACTAGGTCTTCTGTTGTAGCCTTCTGAGTTCAAAGAAAACCTGAGGAAAAGAAGAAAAAGAATCTCATCAAAGCTTCCGCTTCTAGGGCTGAAACTTAAGCTCCCAGACCACGCGCGAAGACAGGCCCTGACTGCGTCTGCCGAGAGTCACCCGTGAGACCCAGCCTCATGTCCCGCAGCAGCCACCTCCTGTAGAACATGGGCTGCATCTCACTGACGCCCCCTTCCTCAGGCAGCTTCCTCCATCAGCCCTCCAACACTATTTCTCTAGTCACTGGGCAACACAGGGATTAATTATTGATGAGATTCTTTGTGTCCATACCCCACATTGAACTTTAAATCTATGACAAGAAACACTACATCTTTTTATCACCCTTTCTTGGTACAGGATCTATACCAAGAGCCACTCTACTGGATGCTAAGTTAATAAATGCTTGGCTGGTCACGGTGGCATGTATCTATAGTCCTAGCTACTCAGGAGGCTGGGGCAGGAGGGTATCTTAAGGCTTGCAGTTCAAGGCCAACCTCTGCAACACAGTGAGACCCTGTATCAAGAGGGAAAAATGGAGGAGGTGGCATATCTCTGTGACTGAACTGTGCGCTCAAGCCCCAGGATTAATTCCCAGCACTGCTTTTAAAAAAAATGTGATCCTAGCATTCAAGAGGCTGAGGCAGCAGGACCGCTGCAGCCTGAACTATGTGTAACCTTGTCTCCAAAAAACCAGTATTGGAGAGTTATAAAGAATGACCAACCTGGGGGCTGGAGGTTTAGCTCAGCGGCATAAGCGCCTGCCTTGGAAGCAGGCAGTCATGAGTTCAATCCCCAGTACCGATAAAAAAGGAAAGGAAAAAAAAAAAAAAAAAAAAAAGAATGACCAACCCTAAAGTGATACTCTTTTTGATATGAAAAACAACAGGTAAAATTAATAAATGCTAAGGAACCAAAGCAATGGAACTGCTCAAGGCACTGAAACTGGTGACAGAACTCATCTCCTCTCCTGCTGTGACCAGTGACAGAACAAGCATGTCACGCCCGACTGCCATGATTCTCTGGAAAGGACCACCATGAGGCAGGACCTGACTAAACTCAGACTAAAAGAGAACATCAGTGCGGTGAACGCCAAAGGAAGACTAAGGAGGTGTGACAGAGTTGTGTAGTTTGCACTGGAGCCTGGTTCGGGTGGGAGGCAGAGCTATAGTGGATAAATTCAAATGAGATTGTAGATTACATAAGAATACTATACTGAGGCTCCATTTTCTGTTTTTGTAATCTACGATTACGTAACCCAGCTCTCCTCTTTTTATTGGGGGCGGGGCAGGAAGTGAACTCAGGCTTTGCCCTGCCGGAGGCAAGCAGCCTGCCTTTGAGCTACATCGCCAGCCCTTTTTCAGCATTTTTCAGTTTTGCAACAGGGTAAGCCACCCAGCTGGGATTAAATTCATGACCCTACTGCATCAGCCTCCCAAGTAACTGGCGTTACAGATATGTGCCACCACACCTGGAAATAACTGGTTCTAAAGAAATAAGCCCAACTATTTAGAATTAAAGAGTAAGAGTCAAAGATATACTCTCAAACTGTTCAGAAAAAAAATTATGTACTCACGACAGAGAAGGATAAAATTGGGCGTAGCAGAGTAACAACTGGTGAAAGTGGGTCAAGGGCTGGGCGTGGTGCTACACACCTGTGGTCCCAGCACTCCGGAGGCTGAGGCAAGAGTGCCAGGCCAACCTGGGGCACATGGCGAGACCCTGTCTCAAAACACCAAACCAAACCTCACAGAGTTTCAAAATACATGAAAAGAAAATAGCTGGGCATGTTGGCACATGCTTGTAATTCCAGCACTCTGGGAGGACTGCAAATCTGAGACCAGTCTGGGAAAATTTGCCTTAGAAAGAGCCTGTCTCAAAAATAAAAATAAACAAGTAGGTTGGGGATGTAGCTCACTGCAAAACTCTTGGTTCAATCCCCAGTATCAAAAACCAAGCCAAATCAAATCAACCAAGCAACAGACAACCAAACAAACAAAACCTCAAAAAACTATGGAGTAAAAAGTGACATACAAATAGGAGAATTAACTCAAATTATGAGTTGAGATTAACTCAAATTACGTAGAAAACTTCAACATTTATTCTTTACTCATCAATCAATAAAAAAGCAGATTAAAAAATGAGCAAAACCAGAAAACATTATAAACTCAACCTGACCTGACCTGACATTTACAAATACCCTATCTAATAGCAGAATACATACTCTCTTTAAGGATGCCTGGAAAATCATGTAAAAAGACCACGTTCTAAGTTTAAAAAAAATTAACAAACTTTAAAGAACTAAAATTACACAAAGTATATTCTCTGACCATAAAAGAATTAAATTAGAAATCAGTAACAGACATCTGGAATGTTCCAAATAGTTCGAAGTTAAACAACATACTCTGAGCCTTTGAAATCATCACAGGTCAGCCAGACACAATGATACATGCCTGTAATCCCTAACTATTCAGGAAACTGAGGCGGGAGGACCTCAAATTCAAGGCTACCTTGAGCAATTAGTGAAATCCTGTCTCAAAATTTAAAAACTGGATTCTATCTTTCTACTCCAGCACTGAAATGAATGTTGTCAAGGATGTCGTGAAAAAAGATCTCTTAGACACTCTTGGTGGCAATGTTAGTCATTACAGTCACTATGGAAAGCACTATGGAGGAAACCTCAAAAAACTAGAAACAACTACAATTTGACCGAGGCTGCCACTGCCAGGTACATTCCCTGAGAATCAGCCTGCATGGGCAGGGACACGTGCATACCCGTATCTATTGCAGCCCAACTCCCAGGAGCTCAGCTGCCCTATCAGCCCAGGTGCTCAGCCACAGATGGGTGCAGAAACTGTTAGGTACACAGTGCAGTATTATCAGCCACAGGTACAGTCACATCACCTACAGGCTATAGGACAATGGACCAGACCAGGGCCTGAGATGCTAAGGGAAATAAGTCAGAGAGATATTATGTATTATCTCTCACATGTGGGATCTACAAAAACACGACAAAACAGTAAAAAAAGAGAAAGATGGGGTGGTGGCCTGGGTCCACTGTAATCCCAGCACTTGGCAGAATGAAGAGCTGAAGGCCAGGCAGGGCTTCACAGCAAGGCTCTGTCGAAAACACCAAAAAACAGAGACTGACAAATAAAAGTAGAAGCAAGACTGTTAGGAAAGAGGAAGAGAACAGGAGGGGGATTGGAAAGGCTAGCAGGTAAGAGGAGGTAGAACGACCACAGCGTGCTGTATCCAGGTACCAAACAACTAAAGGGCAATTCACCGATATGTACAACTTATGTGCACAAGAAAACAACCAGACCTCAAATTCAAGGCTACCACAAAGTATACTCTCAAACAGGAAAACTGTATCAATTCAAAAACTCTAACATCTACACATCAGAATACTAGAAAGGAAGAATATAGAAAGAGGAGGGAAAAATGAGTAATCAAATAAGAAGCCAAGAAGCCAAGCAAGGTGGTATATGCCTGTAATCCCAGCACTCCCAGAGGCTGACGTAGGAGGACTGCAAGTCTGGCCTGGGAAATTCAGCGACTCAATGAGACCCCATCCCTCAAAAGATATAAAGGTCTGAAGTTACAACTCAATATTAAGGTCCTGGGCTCAATCCCCGTACTGGGGGTGGGTGGGAGAACATTTTACAGAGCTGACAGGTGTGGGGGTCAGTGTGCTGAAACTCACATACTTGACGTCCATACCTCTCCATATGCATGTCCCATTCCCCTGAAAACTTCAGAAAGTAACAATTCTTTTAAAAGGCTCTCAATCAGATCAGGCCATTGGCAAATCACACAGTAAAAAAGTTCAACTGCCAGATGCTGTGGCACATGCCTGTTGTCCCTGCGTATGGGAGGCTGAGGCAGGAACATCACTGTGAGTGTGAGGCCAACCTAACTACACAGTGAGTTTGAGGCCAACCTGCACTACACAGTGAGACCTCATCTCAAAAAATAAAACAAAACAAAACGGAACGCCTAAAAAACCCCTAAAGAAATAGTTCAAGTCTCTAACTAGCTGTGTGACATGGGTGAGTCCACAAGGTGCCACACAGGAGCACAACAGCGAGCGTGCGTGACAGGAGCAAGCACCTGAGAAGCCCAAGTCTCCCCTTACAGAGAGGCGGAATCCGACGCTTACCCAGACGAGGGCAGGACTCTCCGCGGCTGATCGCGTGCCACCATCACTCTGATCTTTGGATAGTCGCTCACGCCATTGGGGGACTTATTACCTTAAGAACACATTTGCAATTATGAAAGGAAGAAAAAAACTTTGGTGAGCAGCCTGCATTAGGACAAAAAATCTGCGAGCAATTTATATTACAGAACTAAGTATCTTGTTTTCTAAAACTCCCTGAATAAACAGTGTAAGAATCCAGCAGAAATGGGGGCTGGGGATTTAGCTCAGCGGCATAAGCACCTGCCTTACAAGCAGACAGTCGTGAGTTTGATCCCCGGTACTGATAAAAAGGAAAAAGACAATATATATATATATGAATCCAGCAGAAATGTTATAAAAAGTTAATGAAAAGCACTGACATGGGCTGGGAACAGCTCAAGTGGGAGAGCCTTGCACAGCATGCATGAGACCCTGGGTTGGAGCACCGTAACAAATGACAGTAACCACAACAATGTAATATTCACACAATGTGAACAGATGGAATTCAACTTCCATCAACTTCTGAAATACAAGAATTCCAACATTATCTTTGTTCCAAGTCCTTTGGAACTGGATCCTCAGTAAGGTATTGCATTTACTCTGCACCAGAGATACTTTACCAAAAGAATTTGAGAAGCGTAACTGCAAAGTACACATCATTTTCTTAGCTTCTTACACTTTTGACCGTGGAGCCCACAGCCTTCCCAGTATCATGTTGTAGTTTAGATGTAAAATGCTTCGCAAAAGTCTCACATGTTCAGAGGAGCGGATTTGGAAGGTGGCGGGATGAGTGCAGGGTTGATACCTGGTGGGTGCACAGCTGAATGTGCTCTCCGCAGTAGGGCCGGCCTGGAGGCGGCAGGTCACTGGGGAAGTCACTGGGGAGCACAATTCTGACTCTGGCTCTTCCCTTTCTGCCTCCTGGCTGCTGTGAGTTGGACAGCTGCCCTTCCCCCAACCAGGCTCTTCTGCCATGCCATTTCTCCCTCAGATCCAGCCAACTATGCACTGCATCCTCTGAAACTGTGAGCCAAAATAAACCTCTCCTCTTTAAATTGTGGATGCCAGGTATTTTGTCCCAGCAAGAGAAAACTAATACACATCATTTTCCTAACTTCTCCTTCCTCTATAACTTTACAAGTCTCATTATATAGCAGATACCTCACCATTTCTCAGAACTCTGGCTTCTCCTTACTTTTCCTCAACATATCATTTTATACTGAATAGACAATAACTGTGATTTCACTGCAGAATCTAATGATGATATGGAAAAGTCCCTAATCCACACAAGTGCAGGAACTGGGAGTCTAATCTTGCTCACCAAGCAAATGATGAGCCCCTCAAGGACAGCTTTCATTACTTGGTATCACTGATAATAACTTAGCATAGTGCCTGGCACAGGGTAAGCTCTCGGGAAACATTTTTTTAATGACTGAGGCTTCATCTAAGTCACATTAAGCACGCTGAGAAAACAAACACAAAACACAACAGTAAATTAACAGACATTAATTCTAAAGGAAAGGTCCAAGTTGAGATCCTCATCTGAAAATCTAAGTACCGAGGCCTAAAAAATTTCTGACTGCAGATTTCAGATTTCTGAGTTGGTAAACTCCAAAACCTAAAAACTCTGAAACCTGAAACACTTCGGTTCCATACACTTCAGATAATACTTATTCAACCTGTACCTGCTTTTTAGAATGGTAGAGAATATATGTCTTCATTCTCATCTCAATCTAACTCATATTCCTTTCATATTCTCAAAACTTAGGGGAAAATGTGCAGAAGAAAATACAAGGAAGCAAAAATATTTTGACCACCTTACCCAGTTTCAGCATGTTGTTCTTGGATCCAGAACCTATTAGTTCACAAGATGAAGAGTTCGAAAATACCTTAAAATCAAACAGAATCACCTCTGTAGCACCTAAATTTTGTAACTGAAAAGATTTTATCACACAGAAAGATCACTATTAGCAATTATTTCTTAGCACAAAGAAGTGATATCAAGCTCAAATGTTTGTTAAGATCATAAAATGATATAAAAAATGACAAATTCAGGCTGTTTACATAAACTTAAGAAAATCAGAAGCAATAATTTTTATTTATTTACTCTTTTGGCTTTTCCACAGGGTCTCACTAGGCAGTTCAGGCTGTTCTTAAACTCACTATGTAGCCTAGGCTGGCCTCAAACTCCCAGTGGTCTTCCTACCTCAGAGCCTCTCCAGTGCTAGGATTATAGGTGTGTGCCACCAGGCCCAGCCAATTTTCTTTACAAATGCTTTTTAAATATCTAAATTCTTCCATTTAATTTTTTTATCTTTATAGCATGGGTAATAAAGACATGAATATTTCTGGAAAGAATTAATTCTACATATTCATTCCTCAAAAGGCAGTATTTCTAAAATTTAACTTCAATTTAACTTCAAGTACAAAGATAGACAGCTTTTGGGGTGAGGTGTAATTCTGTGAAAGAACTCCTGTGGAGCATGCACAAGGCCTTGAGTTCAATTCCTAGCATCACATAAAACAAAAAAGCCAAGAACCCTCAGTATCCCCAAGCGGAGCTCCACCCCACTTACCTCTCCCGAAGGGGCCACATTCCGTGTCCCGTTACACGCAGAAGTCACCATGGACTTTGTGGTCAGCTGGAATGGGAACCCGAACAAGCTGGCAGCATTGTAGAGGTGGCTTTTCACTTGGTGAATAAAGCAATCTAGAAAGTGCCACAAACTATAAATAAAGAGCGATAAACTTCTAGTGAAGAAAGAAAACATTACCACTTGGAAAGAACCTCCTTTAATTTGTATTAAAAAATCTATTTCAAAAACTGAAATAACAAAGTATCTAAAAAGTATTTTTGTATAACCGAATAACTAGAATTCCAATACTGTGATTGTTTTTTTAATAAATAACCGAAATCCTCCAAAACCATGAAACTGTCACCTTAGCAAATGACAAACTGAATCACAAAGTAATGTTTTGCAATGGCAGCTCTGAAGCAGTGAGTTTTCCAGAATATATAAAATACGTTTTTACCAGAGATGAGGGTATAGTTAACCAAGGAACATGTACCGGGGGGTTTACGGAATCTAAATTGCTGCTTTGCCCTGATTCCTCAGGCAGGTAACAATAGAGGTGCCTGTAATAACTCCTCACTAAGCTCTTTTGCAGGGCTTTAGTAAATCTTGGCTAGGGGAAGTACACAACATATCTGCGGCTCTGAGTACTCTATGACAAAACACAGCTGCCCCTCTGTTGGAGTAGATATGTTAGGTGACCTCAGAGTCATCTCTTCCTAAAATAAAGATTGCAAAATGAGGGAGTAAACAAGGAGGAAGGGGAGACAGATTTCAGTGCTCTCCCTCTTCCTCCTCTCACAATGCTACCTTCTTAATTCCTACACAGCTTATGTTTTCTATAATTTCCTTCCACATCCTAATTAAGGGTGTTCTAATGTGCTAATTATCACTTTGCAGAAAAATTACCCAAAATGGTGGCTTTACACAGTAAGAGCTCCAAAATATACAAAATAAATACTTTTCAGAAAGACAGGCGAATAACTTAAGCAAATGAGACAATGTGATGACCAGGTAAAGTAGAATAAACTTTGAAATAATTTGCTGCTTATGAAAAGTTAAAAGTACCAAGACTGCAAATAAACTGCTGTTTTTGGAACTGCAAAGAACTGCGCGTTCTTCCTGTGGCAGTGCTGAGGGACACAAGCTGTGCTTTCCTGCTATTTTTTTTTTTTTTATCGGTACCAGGGATCGAACTCATGATCACCCGCTTGCAAGGCAGGTTCTTATGTCGCTGAGCTAAATCCCCAGCCCCAAGCTGTGCTTTCTAAGTGAGCGAAGAGTTTCGGCAGGTGATGCTCACCCCACAGCCCACGGTCCAGACTCCAAGGCCCCTCTTGGCCCCTGGAGAGCAGTCAGCAGTGGCCACAAAAATTACTGCAATATTTTATTTTCTTACAAGTTTTGTTTACAACTGGGTGTGCCTTGAGATTATGTCAAGGACCTCACCAAGTTTTTTAAAATGGGAGGAAAGCAGGTCTGCTTCTCTGTGCGATGAATGGATAAAGGATGACTATTTTCCTGGGACCAGACCAAGTTGATCTCCTTTCACCTGTAAAGTCATGAGTTTGCTGCTTTGCTATCCCTTTTCTTTCCTCTTGCTCTTCTTTTTTTCCTCTCAAAAATATCCAAGCGCTGTACTGCCTAACAGAAGAGGTGACAGCCATATGTGGTTACCTACTAATTTTATTTCAATTAACTAAAATTCAAAATTCAAAGTAACCACACTTCAAATGCTCAGCAGCCATCATCGCAGGATATTCTACTCGTCAACAAGGTACAGAATTTCACAAACTCACTAAAAAGTTTCCATTTGCTAGTCACCACTTTTTCCTTGGCTTAGATTTCTTTCTACAGACTGCCTTTCAGAAAATCTTAATGGCTTGCCATGGTGGTACACGCCTGTAGTCCCAGCACTCAGGAGAATGAGGCAGGAAGATTGCCGTGAATTCAAGCCCAGCCTGAACTACAAAGCAAGACCTTGCCAAAAAAAAAAAAAAAAATTTACTGAGACTCTCACTTTTAAATCACATAGGATTACTATTCTGCCTTTCTTGGTTCCTGTGTCTTCATTATTTAGTGCTTATCTCATACCCTTTACCATACAATCACAAAAGTCCTTTAAACATTGAGACCAGGTTTCATCCCTTTTTGTACTTCTGATAGGACCTAACACATTACTTACATTGAGACATGCTCAGTAAGTATTCGCTGGAGTTAAGTGAAATAGTAACACAGGTCCACACTTATCACATCTGGAGTAGACACAAATGCATTGTCATTGTTGCAAAGGGGAAATATAGTATTCTACTGTGCCTTTCCCCTTTAATCTAGCTTTATTCTCTTTCAACTCTTCAGTTAATAGGTAAGTAAAAGATCTGTGACAATAAATTAGATTGGTTTCACTCAGCTGTCTAAACTTAATCACTTAGTTTGAAGCAGTGTGTACAATGTTTCCTCCTCAAAAATACAAAAAAAGTATTTTCTTTATAGGAGGACTTAGAACTTTAAAATGCATACTCAATTCAAAACCTGATTTACCTGGAAAACACTCAAGTCCCTAGTAACAGTGACTACCTCTGTGAAAGACAAAGGAGTAAGAAAGAGATTTGTCACTGCATGCACTTTTATCCTGTTGAATTTCATTCCACATATATTTTTCTATTAACAAACTAATTTTCAAAATTTATATTTAGTACCTAATCTTGGTCTTTTAGCTGGTATTTCATCAGTGTCCACTGTAGAAAACACAGAGCTGAAAAGACAGAAAGAATGTAAGTACATATGTATATAATATGTACACATATCCATTTCTAAAAATAAACTTAAGTGGTCGAGGTTGTGGTTGTAGCTCATTTGTAGTATTATGTGCTTAACATGTCCAATGTCCTGGGTTCAATCTGTAGCACTAAAACAAACAAACAAAACCAACCAATCTTCCTTTTCATATCATCCAACACAACTGTCTTCTATTCACTTTGTCAGAAAAGACAGATATTTTAAAATAGAATGAATGCTATGCCATGTAAGCCTTTAGCATTTGAGGATTTAACACCATGGTTTCAACTATTTGAGAGAGATCCAAAAATCCCTGCCACATAATAATCTGTAACCCGGCTAAAATTCAAATAACGAAAGTAAACAATTTCCTTTTGAAAGATGATCTGCAGAGAAAATTATCTTTCACTTCAGGTAACAATACAAGCACCATTAAAAACAGTTCTTAGCTAGAAAAAGGTGTTATCTTTACACCTGAATCAAGACTATTTCAGTGATAATAAATAATTTGGGCTTCAGGAATGGTTTTAGACTCCTGTGTAAAGAAGGTTAAAGGCAATTTAAAAAAAAAAAGGTTAAAGACATAAGACTTACCACCAATCATTCTCCTGAATCCCTAAGATTAATCATATTTAGAAAAAATTAGCAGAAAGGAGATTCCATGAGAGATCATAATTCTATATTGCCTTTTTAAAAAAAGATAGTCTTGTGGGGCTGGGGATTTAGCTCAGCGGCATAAGCACCTGCCTTGCAAGCAGGCGGTCGTGAGTTCGATCCTCGGTACCGATAAAAATGAAAAAGACAAAAAAAAAAAAAAAAAAAAAAAAGATAGTCTTGCTATGTTGCTTAGGCTGACCTCAAACTGGAAATCCTCCTGCTCTAGCTCCCTGAGTGCTGGGACTACAGGTTTGTGCCATATGCACAGCTAGATGATAAATTTAAACACTCCCCCCCAAGACCTCTTGGCTTCATTTTAACTGAAAATTGGCTGGGTTCCAACTCAGGGCCTTCTATATTGTGCCCCACCACTGAGCTACATCCCCAAGCACTGAGTTATTTTAGCTGCAGGATATGAGCACCGATAGAAAAAAATAGGAGCTTGATTTCCACACCCTGATTCCTACTGACTAGCAGAATTAACACCAAAGAGACATTAAGTGGAGGCTCACACCTGTAATGCCTGTATTGCCTGTAATCCCAGCACTTGGCAGGCTGAGACAGGAGGATCGTGAGAGTTCAAGGCCAGCCTGAGCTACAAAGTGAGCTCAAGGCCAGCCTAAACTACACAGAGAGACCCAGTGAGAGAGAGAGAGAGAGAGAGAGAGAGAGAGAGAGAGAGAGAGAGAGAAACAGACAGACAGACAATATGGAACAGGGTGCAGCAGCCATGGTGCAAGTCTATAATCCCAGCACTCTGGGAAGTTGAGGAAGCCCAGCATGGACAATTTAGTGACTTAGCAAGGCCCTGTGTCAAAATGAAGAAAAGACAATGTTTTTTAAAGGCTGGGAATGTAGCTCGATGCAAAGACCCTGGGTTCAATCTTGAGTTGTGGAGGGGTTATTTATTTATTGAGACAGGGCCTCACTGTGTAGCCGAGGCTGGTCTCAAATTTATGGTAATCCTCCTGCCTCTGCCTCCCAAGTACTACGATTACAGGCATATTCCACCACACCCTGCTGGGGGGGGTGGTGTTTAAAAGACAATGAGTTAACAGTCTCTTCAATAAATATGTGCCAAGCTCAACCTTACTGAAAAAAAGCAAGAGTAAATTAATTAAGTACCTTCAGACTTAAGGTAAACTGTAGCATACTACAGTTTAGTCAGCAGTCAATGTCATCCATGACCTACATTCTAGACTCATCTATTAGTCATTTTGTTTCCTCAAGCTCCCAGATACCAACTTTCAGGCTACTTCCCTTGACCCTGAGGCTAAAAAATAAACCAGCCAGGTTCTGTAATCCCAGATCATTGGGGGGCTGACGCAGATAGAGGGCTTGAACCTGGGCAACTTGGTAAATCCTGCTCACAAAAAAGAAGTAAGAAGAAAGAAAGAGGAAGGGTAGGAGAGGGAAGAGGAAGGCAAGAGAGGAAAAAGGAGAAAAAGGAAAAGAATCAGGTTGGGGGCGTGGCTGTGGAAGAGTGGCCAACACAGCTGGCCTGGCGTCGCAAAATAAAGAAAACAAAACTAAAAGGGAACAAAAGGAGAAATTAGATCATCAAAAATTAGGAGGTGTGTAGAATTTGCATAGGGTTTTATTTTTTGTACTAATTCTTAGGCAAAGGTGGGAGGATACTATAAAATGAGCAATGCGAGGTAGCAGACGGCAAGCAAGAGAAATTTGCAGTTTCTCCCCTAAACTTTAGAGTACACCTAGTGAGCTTTAAACCGAGGATGGTACCTAATACTTTCTTTTTGTTTTTCTCCTCATTAACTAATTCTAAAGCACACAATCCGGGCCCCAACACACAGTTTGACAGCTGTTTCAGAACAAGACTGCTGCTGTTCTGGGAACAGTGCGTGCAGTCAGAGCGACTTTGGGCAAAGCTCCGAACGTCTTTTCCCTCGGCCGCGCTTCGCCTGGCCGCGGATGACACCTGGAGGAGTGCACGCTGCAAAACAAGGCGCCGCCACACCGCGTCCCCCTGCTTCTGAGCCTCAGAGCAGCGAACCACGACAATGCAACCTGCTCGGACCGTGCAGGATGCAAAACCCCCGCCACGATCGCCGGCCACTTGCAGAGACGCTGAGCTCTCTGCTCTGCTCCGCTCCCTCCCGGGAGCCGCGGCCCCGCGCGGCGACGTCACTGGGACACCGCGGCCCGTGGGGGAGGGGCCACCCGGGCCGCCGCCGCCGCCGCTGCCTACTCGGCCCCTTCTCCCTCTCACCTGTTCGAGCGCCGCCTCTTCAGCAGGGCCCGGGCAGCGGGCGCCGAGCGGTCGCAGAAACGGAAAATGGTGCCGAGGATCCTAACCAGCCATTTGTACATACCAAGCCCAAGCAGCAGCGGCGGCCGACACACCCCGAGACGCAAACCCCAGAGCTGTCGCCGCCGCTGCCGCCTCCTTCCCCGCCTCGGCCCACACCGCCAAGACACAGTCGCCGGCTGGTGACGCGATTCCAGGGCCCATGTATTCCACGCTCCCCGCGCAGAGGGGGCCTCAGCTCGCCCGCCCGCCACTGCTCCTGACGTCACCTCCTCCCGCCCGACCGGAAACCTTCATCCCTGAGCTGCGCACGCGCAACCTAGCACCGCCCCCTCCACGTGAGCCTAGCAACAAGAAGGCCTGCTCCAGGTCCGGAGCCAACCGCTGATGAGATCCGGAGGGATGTGGGTGGGGCTTTCTTTCTGTCCAGTCATGAATCGGCCCGAGACAAGGCCCACAGACCACGTGAGCTGTTTCTGGGCTCTGGAGCAAGCGTTCCAGGGACCCGAGAGCTTGGTGTTGGATTTTTGTGTTTTCGCGGTAAAAGTAGGCCACGTTAATTAACAAGTGTTGCTGTCTTAGGAGCCCTTTGGATTGTCTCCACATCTACCTCAAACCGAATACAATAGAGATGTTACGTCTTTTTTATGAACAAGGAAAATCGAATGACACAAGATCAGGAAGCTATCTACCGGCACTGTTGGAGTTTGAGCCTGGGAAAGAATCCCAGCGTCAGTCCAGTGCCCCAGAGGTCCGGGTACTGGGAGAGACCCGGAAGTAGATAATTGCAAATTATAATGCAGATCGTTGGTCGCTGTGGTAAAGCGGTGTGCAAAGTGCAGTGGGGCTGAAAGAACTACACGCTAATCAGTTCCCCTCCCCTAAAAGATCCTGGGAGATCTCAGAGGTTTTCATGCCCTACATATGTTTCCCTGACTGCACTTCTTTGACTGATTGACACGAGCTGCGGCAAGCCTAGGGATTGAGGGCAGATCTTGCAGGTGGACACCAATCCTAAGAATGACCTGGGTGCCCCACTGAGTTCCCAAAGAAAGGCTAACACTACGTGGTTACTGCAAATTGTGTACAGAAAATTTTAATTGACTTTCCCCTCTGGAAGCTGGATGATTTCAGTTTATGTAATGAACGTCCAATAGACAAGCAGGGAAAAAATGGAATATATTTATTAATATGCAATACCAAGGAAACCTTATACAACACAAGATCCTCAAAGAAGGTTTGACGTTGAAATAGAGCCAAGCCAAGGGAAGAAGGCCAGGTCTTCTAGAGGAAAAAGAGGTGACAATAGGCTAAGGAAGTTTAAGGAGAGATAAACAGTGATGATTGTCTGCTTGTGCACATAAAGTCTCCAAGGGACTGTCCTGTGTCAGAACCCCAAGCTCCCTTTTTTTTTTCTTTTGATAGCATTGGGGATTAAACTCACACTATTGTGTGTCACTGAGCTATATCCCCAGCCCCCAAAGCTCTCCTTATGTATTTATTTAGGAACCCAGCACAGGACCTCACAAATGCTAAGCAAGTGCTCTGCCACCACCCTACACCTTCCTATCCCCTAATTTCATCTTCACATGAAAAGACTTTTTGCAGCAGCGAGGAGAGATGGGAAGGAGCAGACTTGTGAAAAATGTGGAATACTGAAGAGGCAAATTAAAGGGCATACTAGGTCTGAGAAGGAAGGAAGGAAAGGAAGACAAACTATTAAATGCTTGCTGGGCATTGCGTAGGTCCTTCACCACAGTAAAAGTATTTAATCAGCTCACAGATCTGAGAGGCAGGCTTTATTAGCCCTATCTTATAGGCTGACAAACAGGCTTAGGTAGGGTCAGTGCTGAACTAGCCATGAGGCACGCTGAGCCATTTGCAATCAATGTGAACAAGTTTTATAACACACTCACTTCGGCACAATAAGGCCAAGGTTATTTTCCAACAGACGGAATGAGAGCACACTGTATCTGGTCCCTGGCCCCGTCCTCCAGGGCTCTTTCTTTTCACTCTGCTTCCTGGCAGCATGAAGTGGGCAGCTTTCCTCCACCATACCCTCTCTGCCATGATGGTTTTGTTTTTTTATTTTTTAATTTTATTTAAAAGGAAAAAGAGAAAAAACAAAACAAAACAAAGTGGTGTAAGGGTACAAGGAATACAAACTACAAAAAAAAAAAAAAAAACCAGAAATCACCAGTTAATAGATTACACATTATCATCTTAGAGATAGTTGCTCAAGTCACAGTATCAAAGCATACAAAGTGGATATTCAAACAGTGAGACTGCAAACAGTTGTGTTCAATGATCCAACCAAAAACATTAATATGGTCAGCTATTTAACACCCCTAAACACACTTGCAGTTGTATCCTTTAAAGCACTTTTTCCCCCTCTCTTTTTTACAACAAAATTTACACATTTTGGGTTTTATTACTCCATAGTTCTTATTACTTTTTTTTTGGAAGAGAATAACATCAAATATGGCAAAACAAAGCTGTCAGTCAAAACCAAGGATGGACATAGCACATGATGTAAAAACAGAGTACAAGGTTATCAACAATGGTTACTATAATGCCTCTTGCTTCCTTAAAAAGAATTGTCTATCTCATTAGGTATTATAAAGTTGAACTAAACAGTAGAGAATAAGACCAATAAAACCTAAACATTGTAAACATTACAGGACTTCCAAAGGAGATAACAGTCAAATCAGAATGGGCATCTTAGTGAATCTTAATGTCTTCTAAGTAGTTGCCTATACCCTCAAACTTGATACTATCATACAGAACAGAATGGAGTCTAAGTCAAAACAAGATGGAGTATTACAGGACTTCAAGTTAATAGGAAATCAAAAAAGTTACTATAATATATCCTGCTAATTTTTTTAAAATTTTCCCCTTAATTAAAAAATCATAAAAAATAACTAAACAATTTTTTAATGAATAAGGGAGAGATTGAGATAAAAGAGGATATAACAACATAACAATACAGGTCAAAGCATGACTGTTTCAGCAACCTAGTGCTTCACCACCAAATAACCCAACTTAATAGTAGTTACCATAGTGTTTGTCTTTTTCCTTGAAATATTTGAATATAACTTCATATACTATAGCTTCACATATTTCCATATCAAGCAGCCCAGAATAAAGCCATTCCAATTAATAAGCCATGATGGTTTTGTCTTGGAGCCAACTGACCATGGACAAACCCACCTGAAATCATGAGTGAAAATAAACTTCTCCACCTTTAAGTGGTGGGTGTCAGCAGTGGAAAGCTAGCCAGTTGTCTTAGTTACTTTCTTTGTTACTGAAACAAAATACCAGGTGCTCACAATTTAAAGAGAAGTTTATTTTGGCTCATGGTTCTTAGAGATTTCAGCCCATAATTGGCTGACTCGAAGACAGGGTGGCATGGCAGAGGGACGAGGTAGAAAACAGCTGCTCACAGTGTGGCATCCAGAGAACAGAGCAGGAAGGAAGAGAAACACTTCCAGATCACACCCCCAGTGACCCACCTCTTCTGCCAGTCCCATCTCTCAACACCAAGCCAGCTCTACCCCCAACCCCACCCCCAGTCATCCAACTACATTCCCCAAGCTCTGCCTCTGAACACAGGAGGCTTTGGGGGAATATCTAGACAAAACCTACAACACCAATATAACTGGCTATCAGCAGTCAGTATTTGTGCCCATGCCCACCCTCTCCTGAAGGAACTCTCTTCCTGGCAAGGCCAACATCCCCAGTGAGCCCCCAACATGAAGGTGCTGCCCCTCCATCTCCACCTCTAGCCCTCTCAGACATTACAAAGTCAATATATAAATTACATCTCTGTCTTTTTCTATTAGGGAGCCAGTAAACATGGTTGGATTGATTCCACCAAACTTGGGAAGTTTGTCTGGAGTGATCTAACTTAAAATATAAGTCCCGGAGCAACTCTAAAATTAGCTGTGGATTGGCTCTAAAGCGAGTAGCTAGAAGAAAGAGGCTTCTGAGAAAGAAATGCCCTACTGACTGCAACAGCCCGACCCCACAAGGGGTCCATGCTGATTCCAAGAAAGGGGTCCAAGTCAGGAGTCAGGAGACCAGGTCTTCCAGGTGACAGGATGTCCTCACCGAGAGCACTGTGTGAGGATGGTCTTAATCAAGAGTCCAGATTCTCATCACCAGTGCTTGGGAATCCAGCTATGTCAAAATGATAATGGCAGTTTGACTCTAATGACAGTGTTTTAAAATGACGATTTTTGGTTCAAATCAGAGCCAAGTATGTAACAATCCCAGCACTCAGGAAGCTAAGGTAGCTGGATCTCAAAGCTGAGGCTAGCCAGGAATACATGTGAGACCCTTTAAAAAAAGTTCAACTAAAGTACCTAATACCAATGGACAAGTATGCAAATACTGAACAATTTTTTTTAATTTTTATTTAAGGAGAAAAGAAAAGAAAGAAAAAAAAAACAGTGAGGGGGTACAAGTTATACAGATTTACAGAAGAAAAAATGCGCAGTAGGAAATCACTAGTTAATGGATTACATATTGCCATCTTAGAAATAATTGTTCAAGTCACAAAATTAAAGCTTGTAGAGTGGACATTCCAACAATGATACTGCAAACAGTTCTGTTCAATGATCCAATAAAACTCTGTGATATCATTTTCTATCTTATACATTTAAATATACATGCAGTTATATAGTTTAGAGCACTTTCTTTTCCTCTCTTTTGTACAATGACTATTACACATTTTGGGTTTCATTGCTCCCACGGTTCTTATTGCTTTTTTGGAAGAGAGTAAAACCAAATGTGACATAACAGAACAGAATAGGTCAAGTCAAAAGGGTGGACATAATAGATAATGTAAAAACATAATACAAGGTGATCAACAATGGTTACCATAATGCCTCCCGCTATTTCTAATAGAATTGCCTATATCATTAGTTGTAATACAATTGAACAAAACAGTAAAGAATAAAACCGACAAAACCAAAACATTGGAGATATTGTAGGTCTTCAAAAGTAGATAAAAGTCAACGAGAATGGGCGTTATAATGAATCTCATTATCTTCTCAGCTGATGCCTAAACTTTCGAACCTGATACTATCCAGCAAAACAGAATAGAGGAACCTCAGTCAAAAACAAGATGGTGAGAGTAATACAGGGCTTCAAATCGAGATAATAGAAAGTCAAAGTGGGTTACTATATTATATCCTGCTATTTTTTCCCTTTAATTAAATGGATAAAAATAAAAAAGTAAATAATGGAGTGGAGATTGAGAAA